AATCACTCTGTGGAACCTTCTAGAAGATGCAAAAGGGTGATTTTTCATTGCAGACCGAAAGAAAGGATAACACACGGCTCAAAGGGGCTGACTAGGGGATATGACACATCAGGACAGTCAATTTGGTCGTGGGCTACTCCTATGCCCCCATCATCTTAGCTAGTGACAACGTGAATGCTACACATCATGGAAGAAGGATCTATCGCACAAGAAAGAAACGAGCAGGCTCAAATCTCACATGGCCACCTATATGCTCTATCTCACATTCTGATTCCCTGAACTAGATGCATAAACGACTGTCAAGAACAAGTGATCAATCCAAGTCACAGTTGGTAAGCAAACAGTTGAAAAAAATGAACCCCTACACAATTCTACTGCACGTCTCAGTCCTCATCATAGGTTGTCCTAGTCACAATCATGCTGTCATGCATCAATCCGAAAACCATTCAATTCATCAATCAAAACATAGTGCCAATATGATCAAACAGCAGTACTTGGAGCCCTAAAATCGTAAGATTCGGACAGCGGACTAGGCTCCAAGCACAAAATATAGATTCCAACCGATACAAAGCACCCCCCCACACTTAAGCACGACATTGCCCTCAATGGAGTAGAGGGAGAGATAAGGGGATCGATGTTACCGGATTGAAATACTGCTGGGGGACTGGAAGTGGACCAGTCAGCGAGAAACAAACGGGAAGATGGACAGTTCTGCACGAATCGAACACCAAGAACACACTAGCACACTGTGCGTTAGGGATAAGTGTTAGCCTAGATGGCTACAACATAAACAATCCACAAAAGAAAAACAAAAACAAACGACACTAAGTTCAAGCTCCTCACACATGGAGCAAACACACAAAAGTCTGAAATGAAAAACACACTGAGATGGGCAACGAGTACAGCCAGAGATGGGCAACGAGTACAGCCTACTCGTCGTCAAGGTTATCCAGGTCGATGTCGTCCATGAAGGCGTCATCACCATCATCACCATCAGCTGGGGGAGGTGGAAGTGGAGAGTCCTCCCAGGGAGTCCTCCAGACTGGCTGCTCACCCGGCAGCAACTGGAGTAGGTGCTGCTGGACCTCCTGCATGCGCCGAGATCGAGCCTTCTCTCGCTCGATATGAGCCAGAGTCACCCCCTGCTAGGTCGCCATCATGTCCAGGCGCTCATCATAAGCAGCCATCCTCTGCTGGTGGAACTGGAGCTGCTGGTCAAGGATCTGCTAGTTCTGGATACGCAGCTGCTCGAACTGGTAGGTGAAGTAGTCATGCCCAGGGAAAGCGGAGCTGACACCCCCGTACTCGAAGGTGGTGGGGCGGGGGGCAGCATCAACATCCACCTCCTCGGGCTCCAAATGATCAACAGACTCATCCTCCTGGCCCTCTGGCTGGTCCTCTGGCTGGTCCTCCGCGGGGATCTGAGGTTCCGGAAACCCCGCGATCCACAGAATGCCGCGGTTCTCTCGCAACAGGTGCATGTGACTTATCGTCTTCTGGCCAAAGACGCTGGTGTCCCCCTGCTCTGTGCACCCTTGCAGTGAAAGCCCGAAGTAGGTGGCCAGGCGGGTGATGAGGGGGGTGCAGTGGAGGCTCTTCAGTTCCAAAGCACTCTTCTCGAAGGTTCTGGCCACCACCGAACCCAAGTGGAGAGGATGGTCATGTTGGCGGATCGACTCAATGAAGTACATGGCCCTCTTGGTGATGGCGCTGGCACTGTCTGAAGCTGGGGTGTAATACTTCGCCAGCAGGTGCTGGAGAATGCGGTTGTCGAGGTGCGGGGTGGTGGCCTTCGTCTTCCCGGCCGAGAAGGGACGCTGGCCTGGCCGAACCAGGCGGGTGTACAGCGTCCTGAAGTTCACCTCTGGCGGGTCGTTGACCTTGGTGACGTAGTCCTCACCATCGGCCAGGCCGAGGTCGAGAGCAGCGGCCAGCTCGTGGTAGCTCATAGACCTGGATGCACCGCCTAGCCTGAATTTGACGGCTGCATCGTCTCTCCAATCCTCCGTGGGTGTGTGCTTGAAGGTCGTGTAGAACTCCAGCACGGGCTCGTAGTAAACCTTCTCGTGGATGGAGAGCAGATGGCGCCACGGGCGGTTGGTGACGATGGCGGAGAGGTGCTCGTAGCAGTGCAACTTCTGAAACTCCCGTTTGGACCAGCAATGGTGCTGCCCAAATGAGCATGCGAGGATTTGCTTGAACCGATCCTGGTAGGGGCCCCTCTTCAGTTCCCGGATGAACGGGTGCTTGAGGTCAGGTTTCGACATTGTCCTGCAAAAGAACAATATCGTACTAATTGAGCGGCCCAATTTCGACAAGTGGTATCAGAGTCCGGTTTGGTTCAGGGCGGTGGACGTCAGTCGGTGGACCCTCGTTCGATGGCCTCAGGATTTGAGAGCTGCGATGGACGCCAGTCGGTGGACCCTCGTTCAATGGCCTCGGGATTTAAGAGCTGCGATTGTCTGGTGGGTCAAAGGTGATTCGCGTATGTTTGGTGGATCCATGAGATATCCACGTTTGGGCTTGGCGGATCAAAGAGAGTTCCGCATTTGAGAAGCAGATCAAAGAGAGTTCTGCGTCTGGTAAAGTCCTTGTATCAAGAAGCCCATCGATACAAGGCGTCTGGCGGATCAAGATAATCGCTGAGGAGAGGACACGAAGTTCGTGGTCCTTGTCTTGAGGGGAGGATTGTTATGGGACAATCCAAGTACCACTTCGGCAATACAAGGGAAGGGACCCTTGTATATTAGTGTCCACCAAGCTCATTAGTACGAGGCTTTTTGGGAGGAAACTCAAAAGTAAATCCGTGCGGGCTTGGCCCAAAGCGGACAATATCGTACTAATTGAGCGGTCCGGTTTCCACAATGATCATCATGGTCATTGTTATCGTTAACATGAATAGGGGTTGAAGCCCATTTAGGACGCTTTAGAGATGCCTCATCGCCACTTGATCCACTTGAGCTCGAGTCATTGCTCGAGGAATCAAGCTTGCTATCCTCCTTCCTCCTGAGTGTCCATTGCTGTTGAAACTTTTGTTGTTGTTCCTCTCCAGTTGCAAAGCTTAGGGTCATTTTGAGGGGGAAACTTGTATTCTTTCACTCTTAACAATGGGTTAGCAGCTAATCAACCTGCGGTAAGGGGAACTTTTTCCATAATTCAGGAACCATTTAGCCTAGATAACCAAATTACAGGTCAAACCCTTAAGAGAGAGAAGGCATTGGAGGCTAAGGTAAATCACATGGCAATACAGATCAAATGAGAACTCTAACACACCATTGGACATGTTCATAGAAGTATCAGGTACAATGACATTACAAGTACAATTTCCTTCTAGAATGGCATGTTGCTAAAGAAGGGAGGGAGTAGCTTTAATTCTATCACATAAAGGGAACTCAATTGTTCCAAAATGAGATGGACAGAGTTTGAGTCAAATATTTGTGCCAAAGCAAAAAAGCAACAACACTAACGGCCCCAGGAGACCTCTTCTGAAAGCAAACTGAGAGAAAACAAAGAAATTCCCCAAGACTTTCACTTTCCTAAAGTTGAGATTCAAAGAAGAAAATTACGATATAAAAATATTCCAAGAAGAAAAGGGCTTGCATTCCTTATTCTGAATCCCGATTGCTGTTAAAGTTCATATCACAAAGTCAGACAAACTTTGACATAAAAGAAAAAAGGTAGGACCTTTCTCAATGATCATATGCTACAAAAGACAATAAAGACTTTCCCTTCCCAAACATTTCAATTACAAGCAGAAAACCCAGTAACAAAAATTACCATAGGAAAAGCCTCAATAAATGAACTTTGCTCTGTGACCAGATGCAGAAAATGAGGAACCTGACCTTGAAACCAACAATGCCTTGCGCCCTTTTGCTGAACCAGGACGCCTTTTGCTTTTACCTATTCTTCTGCCACCACCGATCAGAAGTGCATTTCTTTCTTCACCCATCAGAATTGAAGCTTTTTCGTGGCATTTATGCCCTGTATTATCCGGCCAAGGTTAAAAAGGGAAGAAAATTATATGTTATTTTTTTTACTCACTTTCTCGTCAGGTTGTATCACAATCTGTACAACGACCCATTTGCCATTTATAGAGATCAGGACAATTAAGTTGGGATGGTTGGCAAGTTACAGTGAAATAGGGGAGAAAGAGAAACCCAGATCAAAGATTATACCTTTTTTTGCCCCATCACATTGATGAGTTGTATTTTTAGCATTATAAGTTACAAGCACTGTTAGCTATTTCGAGTGTAAAGCGTGATTTTCTGCCATAACAGTTTTATGGAAGATTCATTCGGAGAAAGCCCCAAGCAAGCCAACGACCTCTTGAGCCAACCTCAATACAAAAACACTACTGATTGTTTTCTCTGGAAAACCTATCAAACTTGGGAAGGAATTCACTTATAGGTTAAGCTGGGAAATGGGCATTGAACAAGAAAAGGAAAAGATCAGCATATCAAAGCAAAATTTCTCTCACCAATTAAAGATGGTGGCAAATGATGAATTGGATACCCTAGAATTTTAATACAGCACTGAGGGGCGATTTGTTTGGACAACAGGTCAAACTTGTATTCCAATAAAGGTTGATTGCAAGTTTGCAACTTGCCTCTTAAAACCTAACCAGGGAGTTGTCTTACCTTAACAAGACGCAAAAATGGTATCCTAACTCCTAAGTTCAACTCTAAAGTGAACAAAGGAAGCTCAATATGGATCCAAATGCATCCCTGCGATGTCCGATATATGATCTTGAATAATGCAGTGAGAAGATAGGCTTCGAGAGTAGGCCATCTGTCTTCCTTGCCATAATCAGTAAAAATCATTTGAACCTTTTCATTTTTTCCAGCCAACACCAGGGTTCAAGATGGCTCTGAATAGATATGGACCCTTTCGTCCCGGTGTGTTGATATAATCTGTGAAGAACTTACTGTACAGTCATACAACATATTCGCCTACAAAACTGTGATCTACATCCTTCTCTACCACGATCCGTTTCCCTACCTTCATATGCTAGCTGTCGGGTTCTGATGGTGCAGAAGAGCATCATAAAACCTGCAGTCAGAAAAAGAAAATGGAGGATGGACAAAGTTAAGCTTTCCAAGATAGTTCGTCATAACTGCGTAATAATTCTTTTAAACATTATTATACCTTAAAGACTCCTCACCAAGTTTCCTTGATATGCATATTGCATAGGGATTGTAACAATTAGATATCGAATCCCCCAGATTCTCCTCTGTGTATGATAATCCACATATTCATAGAGATTCTAGTTCTCTTTTTATGGGACTGATCATTCTTACAGTGTTGCCTGCTCCATGGTACGTGATTGTCAAGACTCAGACTTACTTGCACAAGAAGTTTGCTGACATCCCACAAAAAGGAAGTTTGTTGACAACATCAATGGATTTCCGGTAGCCTGCAAAACCAAAGCATAGTATCAACTCATCGTTAGAGAACTAATATATGAACATTTGATTAATCAAAGTTAAATTAACTAAGTTTTTTGAACCATTTACTACCTGCAGGGAAATTCACTTGTATAGATCCCTGCTTGATGGATCTCATCGACATACTGCAATGCTTCCCGACATTCCTCTCAGTCATCAAAGAATTCGTCATTGTCTCCTTCTATATGATTTGTCTCGTGTCCTTTACCAGCAACAACCTGCTCAGGTTGAAAGTTTAAGTAGTTCAAACACATACAAAAGACATTGTTGTGAGAAGGAATCATTAAAAAAGATATCAACTAAGAACTTACAACCACATCGCCTTCTTCACCCATCACAACAGCACAACGTACAACTACACGTCTAATATCATGAAATAAAAGATGATGGCCATTTGGGATAGGAGGATAATAGTCATTCTCCCCGTGTTTTAAATATTCTTGCATTGTCCATCCTACTCCAGCTAACATGTCATCCAAAAATATCCAATGGAAAAAAGAGAGTAAAATACATAAATAAAATGCTCTCATCGGCTTTTATTCCACAACATCTATGCCAGATACCTTTGAGGTTGCACTAACTTGCAGCTTTACCTCTCGGATTGTCTGATGCTAGCATAGTTACATCACTTTTATCTGTTGCAATTTTGGTCATCAATCGCCTTTTGCCTCTTTCAGTCTCGCCGCAAGATCCAATAACTTCATGACGAGACAAGTCGATTAGGTAAAAAAAATGACTTCATCTTCAAGCAAACTTTAGTAAAGAAATGAAAACTTCTACAAACTAGAAGCTCTTAAATCAAATCACACAAAGAGCTATAACATCTCGTAGCTTTTGCAAGTAATTAGAACAATGTTAAAGCTAGTCACCAGAAAAGGGATCTTACCAATGATAATTCTCATAGGGCCAAGCTCCCTCACTAAATCAAGTAATCTAGATAGTCCATCCAGAGTACGGGCATAGTCCACAATTACCCCCAACGTCTGCTCCTCATTTATTAGCTCACACCTACCAGGTACTACATCAATCTCTTCAATCCCTCTTACAATATCTTCGAATGGAGCCCCAACATCAATCCCAACAGTCACAACAACTAAGATATTGTAAATGTTGTGCTTCCCAAGTAACCCTAATGAAATTTCCAATATCCCTTTGGGGTGTATTAACCAACACTTGTGTCTCAAAAAGCGAGAGCTCGAACATCAAGGGATTTGCATCAGCACTCTTATCCTCCATTGCAAAGGTTACAACAGGCACATCTTGATTCCCTAGTGACCTAAGAAAAGGAGCATTTGGGTCATTGATGTTAATGACTTTCCTATGCCTCTCTGTATCAATCATCCTAGAAAACAGCTTCACCTTCGCGTCCTTATACTCTTCATCAATTCTCGGGAACTTAGAGTAATCTCCTGCCAAATTAGTACAAACAAAAATATCGAAGTCTATCTCATTGCACCTCCCTAATGGCAACTCATAAGAAGATGCCTCTACCACTACTGCTTCTGTCCCATTATGATACATATTAGCCATCAAGTTCTGAACCAAGACAGAATCTGGAGAGGTGTTTTTAGACACCAATTTGGTATCGTCGTTGATTCGGGCCTAAATGTAGTCGAAAGTTGGAAGAAATGGCGCGAGGACTGGGCAAAGAGGAGGAAACAGTCGCTGTTCACGGTCCAAGCCGTGAGTTCACGGTCGCCAGGAACGTGAACTAAAGCCACGAACCGCGAACTGAAGGGTTGTCCAGAGTGGTTTCAGAAGTTACTGACGCTGAGTCAGTTCACGCTCATAAGATCGTGAAATGAAGCCATGGACCTCAAACTCAAGAATTGGGACCAGGAACTGGGCTTGATTAGTGTATAAAAAAGAGAGCTGAAAGGAAGAAGAGGGAGAGCCCAAAAGTGAGAGAAACTTTCTTCTTCTTGAAATCCTAGAGAGAGAAAGTCACGAACCAAGAGGGAGAAGAGGCTAGGGTTTGCTCCAAGTCAAGAATTGGGAAGTTCTCTTCAAGAGAGGATCTCTACAAGCACAAGGAAGGATTGAGGCATCACAATGATGGTTTTTTCCTTTTTCATTTTTGTTCTTCCTTCTTCTATCATGGAGTAGTCTCCTATTCACATGGGTGTTGTAGAACCCTAACTTTTACCATGTAGTTGATTGTGTGGATTGAATGATTGTGTGTGGGTGATGTTTAATTTAAGATTTGAGGTATGTTCATGATGATTGTGTATTGTGCGTGCTTACCAATCTATTGTGCTACTCTAATCTAGCTTAGATAGAAACCCCATTTTCTTAAGAGGCTCAAATTGAGCTAGGTTTCTTAGGCATTCCATGCCTCCTAACTAGGTTAATGTAAGGCAAATCTCTAAACTCAAATGAGACACCTAGGTTAATTGTGATTAAGCAATCCAAACCCTAGTTTGAGGGAGAAGGTTAGTCAACCCTCTTTTGCTTGGGCCAAGAGGGTTACTTTCATGGCCTATAATGCATTCATTGGCCTAGCGATTGAGAGTGTGGTTTCTAACCACTGTTGCTCCTCCTAACGGTTCGCAATCGCCTTGTCGTACACCAATTCTTTCGATCCCTCAGTTCATGGTAGTTAGTTAGGGGGAAACAACTCCCGAGTGAAGCTTCTCATCAAGATTTTCAACCCTTTTACTTTTCAAGCATTGCACTTTTAATCGTAGATTGTAGAGATTCTTACAAACTTCATTCCGCTAGATAATGTTTCAAACAATTGAAGTAGAGGTACATGGACCGACCCGGGTTGATATTTAAACATACTTGCCCTATATTGCACTCATTAGGTTTATACTTGGGCCTTAGGTGAGATTTAAGTGTGATATTCGGAGTGATTCAAGTTTTTGGCGCCGTTGCCGGGGAACATCGGTTCATTATTTTGAAAAGATTCTTTGGTGTTAATCTTGCTTTTACTTTTAGTTTTGATTGTGTGAAGTGTTGCTTGTGGTAGACGTGTTGTGGTTCTTTTAAGTGTGTGCAGGGAGGTGCATGACCCGGAGCAATCCGGCACCTTTAGCGCCACTAGACGAGAATCTCAACCGCACTCTCTGACTCTTGGCTAGTGGGAGAGAGTTAGCGGAAGCAAGAAGGAGAATTGAAAAGAGGGGACATCAAGTTAGTCCCGGATTTAGAGGAGTTGAAGTAGAAGGTGAAGTTGAGATGGCGGCGAATCAACAAGAAGCTGCTAATCCACCTCCATACCCAAATGTGGAGGCGGGACCCGAGGAAGAACCAAGGACTATAGGCTATTACATGGCCCCACGGGCGGCAGATATCCAATCTCCCATCCTACATCCACCCGTGGTCGCTTACAACTTTGAAATCAAGCCTGCACTCATCACGATGATTCAAAACAACGCTTTGTTTCACGGGCTTGCCAATGAATCACCGCGAGAGCATGTTCAAAGATTTCTTGAGCGTGATGGAAGCCTGAAGATAAATGACGTCCCCAAGGAGGCATTGCAACTGAGGCTATTACCCTACTCTTTTGGGGGGAAGGCGCTCCCATGGCTCAACAACTAACCGACTCGATCCATCACCTCTTGGGACGATTTGCTCAATAAGTTTATGACCCGATATTGTCCTTCTTCCAAGACGCCCGAGAAGATGAGACATTGAGGTATGCGTGGGAAAGATTCTCGGACTACTTCCTCCAATGCCCTCACCATGGATTCGAGGAGAAATTTCTGATAGAGACCTTCTATGGCGGTCTCATTCAAGATGACAAGATTCTCATCAACTCTCTTTGCCAAGGGAAGTTGATGAACATGACTCCACCTCAGGTGACCGAGTTGCTCGAAGACATGGCTATCAAGGGATACGATTGGGGCTTGATGAGAAGTGGTAAGAGAAGCAGCGAAAGAGGAGTACGAAGTGTGGGAGCAAGTGTTCCACTGGCACTTGAAGCTAAGCTTGACAAGTTGATTGAGGTGATCCTTGAGGAAAAGAAGCAAGGGAAGAGAGCGGTGATGTCGTGGAATTGGTGCTCTATCACTAGTCATGAGATAGCGGAGTGCCAAGTGATGAAGGAGACAAGTACCCCCGAGGAGCAAGTGAGTTTCATTGCCAATGATAGAGGGAACAACCCTTATAGCAACACCTACAACCCCGGGTGGCGCAATCATCCAAATTTCGCTTGGTCTTCCCCTACCAATCCAAGACCTCCCGGTTTCCAAGGTCCAACGGGCAACTATCAACCTCGTCCGACTTACATCCAACAAAGGCCTCAGTTCCAAAACTCGAATTTCCAACAACCATACTAAGAACAACACAGTCAAGGGTTCCAAAAAAAAAAAACAACAAACCGACAAGTTTTCTAAACTTGAAGATCTAGTGACCACCTTTGTGAGCACAAGCTCTCAGAAGTTCGAGAAGATTGAGCAATTCATGGATGTGGCAACATCCAAGTTTACCTCGATTGAGGCGGGACTCCGAAGTCATCAAGCAAGCCTCCAGAACTTGAAGTGAAAATTGGAAATCTTTCATGGATCCTCACCGAGAGACCAAGGGGAGCTCTACCTTCCCAAACAGTTGCAAACCCCAAAGACCAAATTGTCGGGTTGAATTCGATTCAATTAAGAAGTGGGAAGAGACTCAGGAGGCCGTTTCCAAAGAAGCGAATGAGAAGGAAGACCCTCTACCCGAGGGTAGAGAAGAAGAAACCTCGGGAGGAAAGAGAGGAGTGGCAAGGAAGGCATCGCCAACGCCACCTCCATTGGCTGAGTACACGCCACCCCTACCTTTTCCTACGTGGATGTATAAGGAAATATTGGAAGCAGAATGTGGAGGTTTCATGGAGATGCTCAGAAAACTCCACCTCAACATTCCCTTCCTTGAAGCAATGGCCCACATGCCACGGTATTCAAAATACCTCAAGGGACTTCTCTCTAAGAAGCCAAAATTCAAAGATCTCGCCAATGTCACCCTAAGCGAGGAGTGCTCCGCCTTCATCCTCAACCGGTTGCCCAAAAAGAAACTCGATCCAAGTAGTTTCACCATACCTCTTTGCATCGACACGCATCACACAGAGAATTCCTTGGCGAACTTAGGAGCAAGCATTAATGTGATTCCCTTTAAGCTTTTTAGAGGCTAGACTTGGGTGAATTAAAGACTACTAGGCTTAGTGTCACGTTGGCCGATCGCTCTATCATT